GAAATTTTTTGAATTATTTACCCGGGTAGGTAATGGGGTACCCGGGTAGATTTCGCGAATAGGGTTTTTTAAAAGCCCCAGCAGCCCCCATTTGGAAAACCCACAAAGGGTACCCGGGTAGAGAGCTACTGAAGTGCGATTTCGTCCATTCTGGGAGCACGTTTGATCGATCATCTCAAGACTTTGTCATCATCCTTGGCGCACGGTATGGGTTCCTTCTACCGATTGAAATTTCAAGATTTGTTATTTTTTTCCGTTTGAATTTCTGATTCATCATAAAAATCGGCCTGACCTTGATGTAATCATGTATGCATTTTAATTTATTTCTTTGCGTATTGTTAATTTTCGTTTTCAAAATGCATTCTGATTTGTTGCTAATAAAAAACCCTAACCCTAACCCTAACCCTAACCCTAAACCTGTTTATCCATATTCTCTGAAATTGAATTTTTTTTTAATTTTGTTTTACAGTGTTATTGCATGGAGGACAGACGCGCTAGGAAGAAGAGAGCGATGAATACTGAAGGGAGGAGCAAGCACCGACATGATGTATCTTCCTCCTCTTAGCCCCAGGCTGTGCATCAGGCTCCGGACCTGCCGTTCGGATATTTATTTGAGGATGACGCTGGTGCACACGAGCGGTTTGTGAAGTTTTTCATGAGCCGAAAAATTTGTGAGCCGAAATCACTGGATTCGGCGTTCTTCAATTTGGAGCGGTTCGACATAGTCCCACTTCTCCAGCAAACACATTTGCTGGTGCTTGCGGATATGAGGTGCCCGTACTCAAAGGTCATGGTGCGAGCATTCTACCAGAACCTGGGCTATGTGCATGGTGAGCTAACTTCCCGTGTATGCGGGATTGATATCATCCTTACTGCTCCTATGTGGACAGAGTTGCTGGGATTTGACTTCGACGGTGAGACAGGGTCAGCACTATATGACGGAGACATCCATCATATATTTGGTGGTTATGATAGGGAGGCTATTGTGGCTGAGACCAGGAGGGCAGATGCAGAGGCCGGACAATTTGCTCATTATCCTGTCAGCAATTTGTCCGTGTCTGTCCGCATACTTCATTAAGTGGTGACCCACATTATTTTCCAGCGCCCTCATAATCATTCGAAGGTGCTGGAAGGTGACTTTGTGATATTGTGGGCCCTCCTTCACCATATTAAGGTGAACTGGAGGCACTACATATGCATCTTGATGTGGAAGGCGGCCAAGTCAAAAAAGGCTGAATTGCCATTTGCATTCCTGGTCCAGAAGATTTTGCACAGATTTGGTCTTCCTATGGCAACTGAGACCATGAAGACAGCCACAGGATGGAATGCCATCTTTGGGGAGCGCCTTTTGAAGCAATGCGGGATTATGCAGAGCCCAGCAGGTGTGTGGTACTGGAAGAAGGCACCTGAACCACCAGAGGTCCCCCTTCAGCATGATGCTCAGATGGAGGATGCAGGTGCAGGTAAATGTTTTTTGGATTTAGGGTAGCAGTAGGGTTAATATTTTTGCACCATCCACATTTTAATGTCTACTTTTTATGATGTTGATGCAGGACTTGATGATGATGACGTTGTCCATGCTGTTGATCCCACTCCTGCACGTCGCAGCCGCACACGGCGACCACCAGGTCCACCATCACTTGAGGGGGGATGGACAGCGCCTGAGGGAGGATGGACATTTGATCATGTGATGGCCTCCATGTATCGCTTGACATGTGGGCAGGACGCCATGATGAGTGAGTTTAGGAGCTACAGACAGAGTACAAGCAAGTGGCGAACAACGATGGAAAGCAGGATGACACGCTTGGAGGGTGGATCAGCAGGGGGTCATGACATAGGTGATGAGTCTGTTGAGGACGACGACGATGATGAGGATGACGATGATGACCAGGATACACATTCGGATTCCAGGCAGTAGGGTTTAGGGTGCCATGGCTGGGGTAGATTTGATTTATGTATTTTGTTAGGCTGTATGTTGGATCTTAATGTATGTATGCAGCCCATTTTTTGGTGGTATAGGGTTTTATCTGATGATGTTCCCGTGTAGTTTTTTAAATATATGAAGAACCCAGTTATGAAATTTGGTGTTATCTGACTTGTACTGTATTTTCCAAGTTTTGAATGAATTTTGAAGTGAATTCGATGTCTGTTATTAACGTGCATACCTCGTAATTTCATTCGCGCACATCAACCTATCCGATTACAGTATGTGCCCAATTTTGTGGTCAACAAGTCATCATGTATCTTATTATCAAATAACAATCACTGAAATTGCCAAATAATGGATCTCCTAACTTCCAACCTCCGTGCAAGTCATCATCCCCATACAGGATCTCCAACTCGTCATTAGGGTGCGCCCAATTAATGAATGAATAATGTTGGCTTTCATTCCAAAATGGCTCTACCGCAGTCCCAGCATCTAAAGCTTCATTGATTATTGTCTGAATCAATATCACCGAATATATATAATTTATTAAAGCAAATGTGAAAATTTAATAACTTACCGCTACTAACAGGGTCAACATGAAGTGGTGAACTGACAGGATCAATATGAAGTGGTGAACTGACAGGATCAACATGAAGTGGTGACATGACTGGGGTACCCAGCCTTACAGCGCTCGTGTCAGCGTCAAAATTTTCATCCACGTCAGTGTCAGACGAATCACCCTGTGGAATAGCACTTTCAGATTCTCCCTTATCTTCGCTGTCCACATACTCCTCATCTTCATCGTCTTCATCCTCATCCATTGTTACCTGAGCAGGTGCAAATGATCGTATAATTGTATCTTCTTGACCAATACAGTGCGCAGTGGTTGTATGCACCGGTAACGATGAAGACTGACCAGCATCAAATTCAACATATATCTCAATCATTTTTAATATTTTCCATCCAACATACGCATATGTGACGAACTCCACATCTTCATCATCATTGATATCGTTACCAATGTAGTATATTGTATCCATATCCACAACAGTCTCTAACCTGGCTATCATGCGGTGGATGGAATGGATGCCTTCTGACCCCATTTTTTTGGAGAATTCTGTCCTTGAGTTCATTGCATGTAGTGCCCACTTTGATTTTCATCGTTTTTGTTTTTCCTTCAAATCGGACACCATTCGGACCTTCAAAATGCCTCCCATTGTAGTAAATAACTATAGGTACCATGATAGGACTTGAACTCATCTTTCACACGAAAATTTGGGTTTAGGTTTTGGGTTTGGATCTTGGTTCGGATTTTTTAACACAAAATGGAAATGTGGAGGTGTAATGCCAATGTCCTACCAAGGTTAAGCTTTTTGAGATGATGAGATGAAATATATGTGTGATGCTTCGGAATAGAGACGTGAAGGGAAACTGATTTGGGGAGAAAAAACTCTACCTCGCAACAATGGCCGAAACCCTTGGTATTGGGTACCCTATTCGCGAAATCTACCCGGGTACCCCATTACCTACTCGGGTAAATAATTCAAAAAATTTCCAGATCGAAGAACAATACCCGGGTACCCCACTACATACCCGAGTATGGTTGATTTTTTTAAAATATACCCGGGTATGGAGTGGGGTACCCGAGTATGCTTCGTGGTCAACAGTCAAACAGGGGCAGATTGATGTTATGTTTGTTTGGAGGGTTAATTTTTCGTAATAGTTTCTAATCGAGGGCAATTTGGTAAATAATTATTAATAAAGGGGTACAGTGGTCAAAAAGCCTAAGATTTTGTGTTGAAATGATTCTTTACATAAGTACAAATCAGGTGATATTTTTTTTATTTAACGTATCTTTTTGAAATCTACGCATTGGCAAACCCAGAAGATTATCTACTAGTGTTAGAAAGTAAAAATTTAAATAACATCATTCACAAAGATAAAATATATTAAACGGGGCACAAGGAAACATTTTTTGACCAAATCCCCTATGGATATTTGCCAACGTGTAGCTCTCAAAAAGTTATGTGGAATAGAAAAGAGAGCACCTGATTCGGACACCTGAGTAAAAAAAGTTATGGCCTTCCGGAGTTTTATAGTAAAATATCTCAAATTTGAAAAAAGTTTAGGAATTTTTTTGACCCAATCCCCTTCAATGAGATGTCATTGCATAGATCTCAAAAAGTAATATGGAATAAAAATAAGCACGTAATTCGGACACTCGAGTCGAAAGTTATAGCATTTTGAAGTTTTGTTGTCAAACTGTTGATGTTTTGTGCCACGTGTCACCACATAAATGGTGCAAAGTTGCGCCTATGTAGGGCGTGACTTAGCATAAGTTGCGCATCTGTAAGGCATGTACTAGTCAGTAGTCACGTCTACTTGGGGCGCGATCGGTTATTATAGATCCATAAATTAGTTCTAAAAAGAAAAAATAGTATGTTTTCGTAATTTTTTTATTGAGATAGGATATTGTTACTACTAATGTCACTGCCAGTTTGTTTCATCGATAAATCGATTATGTGGATCTAACGGTTCTGATTTAACTTTCTAGAAACCTTCTTTCTTCTCTCTTATTTAATACTTTATATTTATTTTCATCTTTTATGGTTATGATTCCCCATATTTAATGATTTCACATTAAATATGAGGAATTATAACCATACAAATGTGGAAATAAAAATAATCGTTGAATTAATATAATCGATCTAACGGTAAAATAAACTGATAATGATATTGGTAATAACATAATTGGTAATAACAAACGGCAAAATAATATGTTTTCATAATTTCTTATTGAGATAGGATATTATTACTACCAATATCACTATCAGTTTATTTCACCGTTAGACCAATTATGTTGATTTAACGATTCTAATTTAACTTTCTAAAATCTTCTTTCTTCTCATTGTATTTAATTTTTTATATTTATTTCTATTTTTATATGATTATAATTATACATATTAGTAATAATATTAATTGGTAATAACAATATCTTATCTCTTCTTTCTTTAAATAATAATATAATTTTTTTGCCGGTATTGGCTCACTCACTAGTCACAATAAATGGCGAGAATCGTCACTATCTTTCATCTCCCTTCAACCCATTTCTCTCTCTAGCTTTCTCGCTCCTTTTTCTCTGAAAGTTGTGAGAGAAAAAAGAAAAGAAAAAAGAAAATGATGAAGCCCTCAATGCTCAGATCCCTCCACTCAGCCGTCGCCCGCGGCTCCTCTCACCTGGCTCGCCGTGGCTACACCACCGAGCCGGTGCCGGAGCGCAAGGTGGCTATCTTGGGGGCCGCCGGCGGTATCGGACAGCCACTTTCTCTGCTGATGAAGCTGAACCCTCTCGTTTCCAGCCTCTCCCTTTACGATATTGGCGGCACCCCTGGCGTCGCCGCCGATGTCAGCCACATCAACACCAGATCTGAGGTATACCAATCCAACCTCATGCACTTTTTCCAAATTTCTGCTGTTTTGTGCTGTACCTCAATGAACTTGTATGTTGATTTTATTTTTTGTTCTGAAGTACCCTTTGGTGGGGTTTTTGCAAAGCTGCAAGCTTTAGTGTAGTCCAATGTTGTAGTGCAATTTTATGAGGTGGACTGATCTACCCTTTTGCGGGAGGTTTTTGCAAAATTGGAAAATTTATGTAGTTTGATTGTATGGTACAGTGAGTTGAGCTGTTTGTCTGTGGTTTACTAATCTACCCTTTTGATTTTGGGGGATTTGCAAAGATGCAAGATTTACTGTGTTTAGTGTTAATAGAACAGTGAATTTGCACTAATCTACCCTTTTGCAGGGTTTATTTATTTATTTATTTTTTCTATTTTGCAAAGATGCAAGCTTTATTGTAGTTTGATGTTGTAGTTGCTATTGATTGAGCTGTTTTTTGTGAATTTGGATTGCAGGTAGTTGGGTACCAAGGTGAAGAAGAGCTTGGAAAGGCTTTGGAAGGAGCAGATGTTATTATAATCCCCGCTGGTGTGCCCAGAAAGCCTGGAATGACTCGTGATGATCTTTTCAACATTAATGCTGGCATTGTGAAGTCGCTGTGTACTGCTATTGCCAAGTACTGTCCCAATGTGAGTGTCTGTTTCCTTGAGTTGCTTTTTATTTTTTCTTCTGTGGTTGTCAGTTGATGTTGCTTGCCACTGCCAGTGTTGTTATGCTTTGGATTTGTCTGTGGAAATCATGTATAGTACTTTGGCCATGGAGGAAATGAAAATTTCATTATGATTGGTTTTGAGTGATTGATTCATTTTCTTTTAGTTGAAGCTACTCTGAACACATTTTTAAGGTTGGTTGTTTATATATATTGTTCAAATCAAAATATTATGGGTATTGTATTGAATTGATTTTAAAATTTGATTTGATGGCCTATAGTAATAATAAATGATTTAGATATTTTTTTTTTCATCCATTAAAAGTATAGCATTTGAGATTATAAAGTTGGAAATTTGTAAACTTATAATCATATATTTTTTATTTGATACTGAATATTTTGCATATGGAATCAGGCCCTTGTGAACATGATAAGCAATCCTGTGAATTCCACTGTTCCTATTGCTGCTGAGGTTTTCAAGAAGGCAGGGACATATGATGAGAAGAGGTTGTTTGGTGTTACCACCCTTGATGTTGTTAGGGCAAAAACTTTCTATGCTGGGAAGGCCAAAGTTCCAGTTGCTGGTATGTTACAGTTACTCTTAACTCTTTTGTCTTGCTTGGTTTGTTACTGTTGCTTATTTTGTGACATTAAGATGGAGCAAATGGGGAGGAGAGTTTGGGGCCAGATTTAAGTGTCAAGTTTATGTGAAGAAAGTCCAACCAATTTAAAGAGTAGAATTCTAAATGTTTTTTTCTCAAGTCGGAGGGGGATTGAGTAGGGGAAGGGTTGAAATTGAATTATGATTCTGTATTTCTTGTACTGTAGAACAATTTGTTTTTAGTAGTAGATGACTAATGATTTGGGTTTGTGCATGTTTCTGCAGAGGTCAATGTACCTGTTGTAGGTGGCCATGCAGGCATTACTATTCTGCCACTATTTTCTCAGGTACCTTCCTGCTACTTAACTCAACATTTTCTCCCTCTGACATCTAGTTTGGGCTGCCTAGAGCTGCTTAGCTTGATATGCACTTGCTAATTTGTGTAGGCTACACCACAAGCCAATCTGGGTGATGATGAAATTCAGGCTCTTACAAAGAGGACACAAGAAGGAGGAACAGAAGTTGTGGAAGCTAAGGCTGGAAAGGGTTCTGCGACTTTGTCCATGGCGTAAGTCCTGGTTTAATTCTTAACATGCTATTGCATGTGTATGAAGACAGTATAGTTGATCTCGATAGGCAGAGTTTAAATCATGAAATTTTTTAATACTAATACAAGAATTATCGTTCAGCTGTGAATTTTGCAAATAATTGATGTAAAATCTAAGCATGCACTCTTATGTCTCTTGCAGTTATGCTGGAGCCATTTTCGCTGATGCTTGCCTCAAGGGCCTTAATGGGGTTCCAGATGTTGTTGAGTGCTCATTTGTGCAATCTAATGTCACTGAACTTCCTTTCTTTGCTTCCAAGGTCATTGAACTGCAACACTGTTTTATTTTGTATTTCTAATTTTACTGCTCTAAATGCTCAAGGTTCATTCTCTTGTTTATCCATGCATAGGGTCTTTCTTCTTTTAATATAGAAACGTTTATCCATGTTGGTGTGCTCTATTCTTGCAATTGACAAAATGCTGAAATGTTTTGCAGGTGAGGCTTGGGAAGAATGGTGTGGAGGAAGTTTTGGGCTTGGGATCTCTCTCAGATTTTGAGAAACAAGGCCTTGAAAGCCTCAAGTCTGAACTCAAAGCATCTATTGAGAAGGGTATCAAATTTGCCAACCAGTAATTGAACATGTCTAGTAGGTTGCTGGATATTCCATTAAGAGAACCAAATCGAATTTTGCAATCTCAGAACCATTGCTGTAATGTTGCCGACAGTGGTGACGGCTTGTTGTTTTATTTAGAGTAGGTATACGCCATTGTTTAATAATTAAATCTGCGAGAGCAGTTTCTTGCCGAAGGGATTTATCTTAAAACCAGTTTTAGGTTGGCCATTCCATTCATAATGGCACTCTTTAACTTAATGTATGGTTTCATATAATGCAATTGCAGGGTGTTGTACCCTTTTTCCTCATTTATTTCTTCTAGTTTTAGAAACCTTGTGTAAGGATTTTGCAATTTTTGATAGCTTTTTTGGAGCCTAGAAAGCTGAGTTGTGAGGTGAAATAGATAGGAGATGGAGTTTGAGTGAAGTTGTCTAATTGTAGGGCCATTCAATTTTTCAATATGGTTTTTTTTCTTCCGCCTAAAAAGAGTATGAGTAGTGTTAAGATTGTTATTCGTGATTGGAAAGTCAGAGATTTGAGTCTCGAAAGTGTAATGTTGCATATAATCAATTTTCATCTTTATCATCACAAAAGTTTCGAAAAAGAGTGAGGTTGCATATAATCAATTTTCATCTCTATCATCACAGCCAGGAAAACTTGTGCATCCGGATTTATCCTTGAGCCTAAAATCTGAGTGGTTTTTTGGGACACATCCACAATTATGGTTAATATTAAACTTTATCAAATAATTTACTTATCATTAATCACTACTATCTAGTAGATGGTTAAATAAATTCAATATTTGATTGATTAGATGTTATTTGAAGAGGCTCTCTAGCATTACTCTAATGTTTATATGGCTGGTAGCTTATTACTGCTGTGAAGTTGACTGATATGCTCCTCTAGGGTAACTTTTAGCCGGTGTCGATGTCCATAGATGTCTGAGAATTCAGTTACGGTGGGTTAAGGTGTTGAATAATGTATAATGGAAAAGAAAATGAAATGGAATACTTGGTTAGTTAAAAATAGTGCTCTGGAATGCTGCATTGACAACTGCTCACTTATACTATGCACTCCATCAGGACTGGCATCATTTTCTCCCTTTTTATTATATCAAACGAAAAATTTGATGTTTTTACCCAGCCTTGTGCATATTTAATATATAATTTGTAGGGCTAGGAGATGAAATAGATGCATGAGTACTTATATTATATGAAAGCAAAAATTTATCATATTTTTACCCATCGTTTTATATATTTAATATATAATTTGTAGGGCTAGGTGATGAAGGACATGCATGAGTACTTTTATTATATTAAACCAAAAATTTAATGTATTTTTACCTAGCATTGTATATATTTAATTAGTAGGGCTAGATGATGAAGGAGACGCATGAGTACTTTTATTATATCAAACCAAAAATTTATTATATTTTTATCCATCGTTGTATATATTTTGTAGGGCTAGGTGAAGGAGACGCATGAGTACTTTTATTAGCTCAAACCAAAAAGTTAATATATTTTTACCCTTCGTTATATATATGTAAGGGTTTAACTTTTCTTATGTTGTAAGATTATAGGAGATAAAAAAAGTAGAGAGAAGTTAAATGTGGGTCCCATATTTTATATTAAAAAAGAAAAGAAAAATTAATTGGCACGGAAAACGAATTTGTGTAGGAAAATGAGAGTATCTCATGTGGCATGAGAGTATTATTTCCCTATATGTAATATGTAATTTGTCGGGTTAGGCGACGAAGGAGAGGCATGTGTTCTGCTCATTGATCACCACCTTCGAATTATTTATATTTATATTTATGTTATGAAATTTAAATATTTGATTGGTTATATGACTTATTATGGACTCTTATATGTATTAAATATAAATTATATTATATATATTAAAATTTTTATTTAATATCAAAACGTCCCAACGTATCAAAATATGACATTTTATAATATTAACGTGTCGTGTCCCGTGTCCGTGTCCGTGCATCATAGCTCACCACTTACACAAAATAATATATTCATGCAACTGTATTTGTTTTCAACAAGTAATAAAGAGTGAGTTAGTGTATTGTGCCGGATAGAAAATTAACGAGTTGATCAATGTGAAGAGTATGCTAGTTATGACTTGAAGAATTAAAAAAATATAATGACTAAGTTGAGATTTGTGATGAGAGTAAGAAGTGATTCAAAGAAGCAAAGATGTAAATCAACAATGTCAAAAGGGAAAAATCATAGGGTGGAAGGATTCGGTGTCAATTTTTTCTTTCTCTTGTAACTTTTCTTGAGAATGTTGTAGCATCTGTTGAGTAATAACTATCAACTAAACAAAACACGTATATTTACAAGAGTTTTCCAACATTGCAAGTACATTTGCGAGTTTCTATTTCACGCATATTCCTATGCTAAATAAAAACCAGAAATCAATGAAGTTCAGGTTTAAAAAGGTGATGTGGTTACCAAACGATAGTTGCTCAATTGGCGTCAGGAAAGCAGGTGAGGATATGTGTTCGATCATTCTCAATATCATTTTTGGGAGGAGTTTAAAGTCTTAATCTCAGGACTCGCCCCAAATCAAATTAGTTGCGAAGCTATGAATCGAATATCTCAAAAAAAAAAAAGAAGTTGATGTGGGTGTAAGTTCATTTCGTATCTTACCAACTTAGTTGAATTTAAATTATACGCATCTAACTCACACAGTTTAATATGTCTTTGATTCCTTTCCGGAATACAAAATATCACAGATCTATGCAAGTAAATGACCAGTAAAAAAGGATGATATTTCAACAAGCACAATATTGAACAAAATGATAAACATTAACAACAAAAAGCCCATTCATGTGTTCAAAATTATTAATTTTGCAGTCGTACTCTCTCGATCAATGTTACAGTAACCAATTATTCTATTATATGAAATTGAATCAATTCCTTGGCAGCGAAGAGCTTGTTTCCTCAAATCTCTCGTTTAGACCATTTCAAATTCGAGCCTTCTTTCTTGTTGATGTTTTCTCCTTTTTTCGTTGTGCTAGGGACTCCAAGATTTCTGTCTTCTAATCAATGATTGTGTTCCTCTCCTCAAAACGTAAAATTAACTTTGTCTTTTTATGCTCCATAAAACACCGGAAAAACTTCTTTTTCTTATCTTTTCACCCCTTTCTTTCCATTACATCTACTTTAATTCTCTAGCTTTTGCAAAACAAATTGTCAATCCATAACTTCCCTAGCATCCTGCCATTTACTTTAATGCGTTCTCAGGGAACATGTTGAAGTATTTTCTTTGTAGTTTTCTGAATTAAAGATTCTTGAATTGAAATTTTATTGGTTTTAGAACAAGAATTTTCTTTTAGTCTTTATCAAGTATTAAAACTGATCTAAAAGTAAGAAATGATTTATCAATGTTAAAAGGTTTTCTGGGTATATCTCAAATCATGGATGACAAAAATATTTGCATTACTGCAAATTCGTACATTGCTATGGAAAGTTTATAACAGTTTCTGGGTTACTACATCAAGTTTAGCTGAAACTTTCCAGATTCAACAATAAGTTCAAGAAAAACTTTTCCCAAAGCTTCTTGAATCTTTACGGAAATTTATATCAGAAATCACCTTTGATTATCCCTAATCAAAAGGGTTCATTTAACACTTAACAAAAACCCATTTCCCAATTTCTTTTTGTTGAAATACTCAAGTCCCATTCCCATGGATTTCTTGAGTTAAAAAGATGAAAGAATCGTACGAATGAAATAAACGAAACAGTAATATTGCACACTAAAAATTTCATCCAATCATTTTGACAAACCCATAAAAAGCAAAAACAAGAAATCCATTTTAACAGTAAAAGGAATAAAGAAACTCGATGCAACAAAGAACATTGTACTTTCTTACCAAGATGAAATGTAAAAGTCATGAATTACAAACCAGATTTCTTCAAAGTGAAATCGTAAAGGAAATGAAACTAATCATACAAAGCTTGAACTTGAACAAAACTCAGTCTTGAATCCCTTCAAGAGAAGAACCATGCATGTGCGTACAGAGCCAACAAGCTAAAACTAAACTTCAAGAACTAAAAAATGAACTTCTGGAAATTGGAAAACTAAAACTGACGAAGAAGAGTTCTAAGTGTATATCTTTTTATATTAAACTCCTACTTAAAACTAAAAGCACCAAAAGTATTTGTCATCCATCCATTCTTTTTTTCTTTGATCCAACGGTCCACATCTCTTCAACTCTCACTAATCGGCCATGTGACTTTTGCCTACAACATAAAGCCAAAATAGTAAGCAAAAATTACAAAAGCTGCCAGCCAATTAGCCATATTCCAATATGGGCTATTCCTTTGTAATTTGGCCCACTTCTCTTGCAAAATAGCACTTTAAACAACCCATTTACCATAAGAAACAAGTTGTTAAATTAAGCAAAATTCACAGCTAACAAAATATCCCAAACTTAGCATTTGCTTGTCCTCAAGCAATCAAGAAAATATTAACTCAGTAAGCACATTGTTAGCTATTGTCTTTCTTTCAGCATTCAGCTTATTATTCAAGCAATGAAATGGTTTTTGCAGTCCAATTCTCCATTTATCACAGTACATGTCAACCATAACATCAATCAACTAAATTGTCTTTTAGTATCAATACCAACCAGCAGCCTAGTCCAAACTAATTTTTTAATTAAACAAACAACACACTATGTTACAATTCATATCAAGCAGTCACTAGACATAACTCATATCAATCAATGTCATGCACTGAGTTTCTCAAAAGGAAATTTTATTATTCATCCCTCTTTTTTTTTAAGGATAATCACTCATCATCAACTCTACATTGTTGAGCCTAACAAATAATATTTCCTAGAAGCTTGATGTCTAATGTGGCATTTCCATCGAAGGGGCTTTTAGGCTAGTAATGGGGCTAGGTTTGGATATCTGTTTTTCTAGACACTTGGCTAAAAATCCATTTCCCAATTTTTTGTTGTTGAAATACTCAAGTCCCATTCCCATGGATTTCTTGAGTTAAAAAGATGAAAGAATCAAACGAATGAAATAAACGAAACAGTAACAATGCACACTAAAAATTTTATCCAATCATTTTGTCAAACCTAGAAAAAGAAAAAACTAGAAATCCATTTTAACAGTAAAATGAATAAAGAAACTCAATGCAACAAAGAACATTGTACTTTCTTACCAAGATGAAATGTAAAAGTCAAGAATTACAAACCAGATTTCTTCAAAGTGAAATTGTAAAGGAAATGAAACTAATCATACAAAGCTTGAACGTTGAACACAACTCAGTCTTGAATCCCTTCAAG